TGAATCATAAATGTATAACCAGTTTTTTACAATAAAGCCTCGAATTTCGGAAAAAAACGGCGGAAGCAAAGTTGTACACCTAATAGAATAGTAATAAATAAATAAATGTATATATATCTTATACTAAATGTGTTTTTAAAAGTGTTTAAAAGTGTTTCTTAGAGATTTTTATATGTTAAAAGCAATGTCGTAAACCAAAAAATTCTAACACGTTAGATTTCCAAGAGAATTGATATTTAATGTTCAAAAAATGGCTTTTCTGACGAGATTTAATATTTTTTGTAAAAAAAGTTAACGTTATCTTATAATTCCAATTAGAAGTCATAAATGTATTGTGAATCCCCTTAAAATGCCTTTTTTTAATTTCAATGTTTACTTTTAAGAGAAATAATAGAGAAATTTTATTGCAACAGAGAAGTTTTATTACAGTCAAAATTAAATATGTTATTAAGACTTTCAATCTTCATAAAGATTTTTTATAATAGTATCAGCTATTGTTAATAAGATGATTAATGTGGTTAAATATAAATGGGGTCTATTATGGAAAAGATGTGAATTCATTCATTAATGATTCAACTATTTAAAAAACAAATAGCTTTTAATTATATTTATTTAATTAAATTAAAAGTTTCTACTGCGTTGGACATGAATACGATATTAAAATTTACAAATTCAAAATTACGGATGTTGGATCGGATCAATATCGAAACTTGAAAAACTTGTCCGGATGATTGGAAAATGTATAAATGTCTTTCATAATTTTGAATTTATTAATTTTGACAATATTTCGATATTTTAGTATTAAGATTTTCGAAATAATGTTCAGGAATCTACTACTAATGGGTGTCACGCAAAATGTATGGGTCATCCTGCATATCTTTGAAATATGCGTTATTTCTTATTTTGCTTTTCCTATTTCCATTTAGAAATAGGAAATAGTAAATAGAAAATAAGGAATAAAAAAATAGAAATGTTTTATTTAATTATGAAATAACGAATGTGTCAAATAAATATTTTATTTGAAGTAAACGTCGATGTAAATAGTAAATGCTATTTGCCTTTTTTACATTTACGATGCAAAATACCTATTTGAAATAGTATTTGTATAGATGCATCTTTTAAATACAATAAATATTTCTATTTAAACTATTTCTATTATTTCGCTGCACAGAAAAAATGTATTTATTATTTTCTATTTCAACTAACTATTTTCCTCAGCACAGGTAATAACCAAGTGATTACTTAGGACAATAGAAATGCGAATCTTGCGCCAGATCGCCCACACTGTACGATCATCAGAGAAACAAGAAATGATATAAGAGAAATCTGTGACATACCCAATTGTATGCTAGGCAAGGAATAGGAGAAAAGAATAAAGAAGATCATGTCAGGATATCCAAGCGTCTGCTGCATATTAATTAATTCGAAAAACTCAATGCAGCACGATCTCCAGAAAAACCTAAGAAATGGCACGAGAGCTGAATATCATCTTCACAAGAGAATGTTGAAGAATAATCACACATAGGACAATAGGCAATCTTAAATGAAGAAGAAGATATATAAAAATTTTAGAGAAGATGGAAATTTTTTCGGCATTTTTAAAACGTGTTCCAATTTACAAAAAAAGTCTGAAAAATTTTTTTAATATTATAAAATGAATACAGGGTCCCGGAAGACTTTTGCCATAACTCACAGAAAGATAGATAAGATTAAAATGAATAAAAAATCCCACTACGAGCGATATTTACTAATAATAATCGAAATATTGAAATTTTTTATTGTACTAATGAGACAGACACCGAAAAAAACCACTTCGACCGCTCGATAGCCAGTTCGATGGCTCATATAGCCAGTTTATCAAGTACTGCCGGCAATGCGTTGAAGAAGCAAAAGCTCAGTATCGCCGCTCACACATCATCGCATCACGCCGAGACTCGCATCGCGTTCGCTACGCACATTTGCGATTATAATATAATAAGACCGATTATAATATATAAAATAACATTGCAAAAATAAGATTTACAAACAATAAACTTTTGTGAATAAGAATGTCGAAAGAAAGAAAGCGATAGAGACTTGTGGAATTTATACGGAAAATCGAATTAATTTCTATCTGCCGCTTCTTTAAATCAAAAGGAAAAAGTTTAAGAAAAAATATACGAAAGTAATAATATCTCCAACATTTCTCTATTATTTGTTGTTAGAAGAACATAAGAATATGATATAATATCAATAAAGATGCAAGTTTTATTAAAATCTATCCTTAAAAAATTATTGAAAATCTATCGTAATTATAACGAAAAAGTACAATATTATGTCAAATATCGTTAATACGATTAACAACAAAGAGTTTTTTTTATAATTATATGATAGTGAACTTAAAATTTCTTCTACCGTAAATATACTATTAATTACGATAGATTTTCAGTGATTTTCTAAGGATAGAATTAGTTCTATTTTTGCAATTTTTTAAGAGGAGACTTTCATTTTTGAGTCAAAAGAACCGATTTTCTTTTTAACGGAATATTATAGTACGAAATGTTAAAAATATGTATTATAAATACAGTAGAAAATATGTGTTAAATACAGCAAATTTAAAATTGAAATTCGTAAATTGGCAAAGTTATAAGTAATAGACCAATTCGGCGCACAAGTATACAACTTAGCGCACGCGGTAACTGCTCCGGTTTTTGCTCAGCCCGAATAGAATTATTGCTCCGAGGAGACAGAAAACAAAAGAGAATTTCTTAAAAACCAGCTTTTATCTATAATTCGAAGATCTATCTCACAGCTATGGCTATGAAAAGAATAAAAAATTGATCGATCACATAATCAAATGCGAGGAGAATACTCGATATAATTGGTCCCTACTTTACTCTTACTTTTTTACGATTATTGTAGACAGGCCTTTAAGTACTCAATTCTAATCTAAAGTGGCAAAATTGACACTGCTCAGTAATAGAATTAAACAGACGAATATGAAACAAAAATATTCACATCTGTGCGTGACGAGCAATGCTTGAAGAAATTGGCGAGATAAAACTTCGAAGTGACCAAAGAAGCTCAGATTTGTCGGAAAGAGCAACAATTGAATAAAAATTAATTCTTTGAACAAAAAGAAAGATTATTATATGGCTCTGGTATGATTAGTAAAAAAATGTAATTGTAAATGTTCGATTTGTATTTGTAAACTACACATGAAACTTCAAACGCGTTTTTCTCGAAACTTTAAACACGTTTTTCGTAATTTTCCATCACTGGTTTGATATCTACGAAATTAATAGACCGATAATTTTCCGCTTTGAACTGCATGTTAAGAAAATATTCCTTCATTCCTATGATGAAAAAAAAAAAACAATTCGTTATTTACTTTTATTTTTATAGCAAAAAATTCAGCCAATTTTTAGAGTGAAATCAATGATTTTTATTTGACAAAACATCATTTTCACAATTATAAATTTTTTTTTGCTTGTTCATCTAACGATAACTATATGTAAATAAAATTAAACGCTATCGGACTTTTATATTTCAGATGACCGGGAAGATATCTTGCCAATCAGTGATATTTCGCGCGATACTATGTTCGAAGAGAGATAACCAGCGTTATATTGACTCAAATTTAAAATAATAAAAAAAACTGTAACTACATTTAAAAATAGTAAAACAATATTCCAAAATTCAAATGTATTGATTTTGATCAAAAAAATTTCCCAAAAAATCAATTTTTTCGCTCAAAAAAATATGAATCCCTTTTTAAAAATTGTCTGTTTTAAAATAGGTTTCTGACTTTAAAAACAAAAATTATAAACTAATGAGTCTTATACTACAAATGGATCGTACATAAATATAGCAAACCCTTATTGTACTATCTTATTATATTACAAAAAATTTTAAATCATTGAAAATATTGAATTGTATAATACAATTTATATAATTACAATTTATACGATTAAATACACATTTATATTGTCAACTTTTTTGTTTATAACTTTTTAACGAATAGCAACCGCCTACCACAACTCATTGGAGGACACTCAAGATCATGACAATATATATCAAGGTTAAAGCATTGAATCCATTGTTTTTTTCGAAGATGAATCCATTGTTTTTAATATATATTTACCGTTTTTAATGTATATTTACCGTATTTTCTGCAAAGTGTGTATTTTTTTGTATGCAGAGTTTCGTTCTTTCTCGTTTTCTGGAAATTACAAAATTTTGGACAAAATGGATTTTGAAAGTCTGCTCCTCATATGTATTATAATCAGTCTCATTATATTATAATCGCGAATATGCGTAGCAGCCTCGAGTCTCTTAACGCGATGCGATGAGACATGTGAGCGATGCAGGACAGTAACGCACTTCCCCTTTTGCCTTCAACGCGCTGCCGGCAGCCAATACTTGATAAACTGGATTAAGTTATACCTCAAGTAGTCGGTTTCTCTCAGCGTGCTGTCATTAGTAAAATTACAAAATTTAATAGTTGCTTTCCATTTACACATAAGTGAAATTGAGTCTGAAGTGAGGTGAGTATTTTATACTCAGATTAATGACGTCACTACTTTGGTAAAAAGTTATCACATAACAAAGTTATCAACACAGGTTCATAATCTCTTTGAAATGAGTTTATGAGACTCACTAAAGTACATGGTCTCGATCTTGTGCAGATGGGTAAAAACCAGTTGAATCTCATTTGTCAGAATGCAAAAGGGACGCACTGAATTATAATGTCATAAGTGAAAATTATGAGAATCGGTGTAAATGAAAAACAACTAAAATCTCGATTATCATCAAATATCGTTAAACGGTATTGGACTTTGTATTCATCTCGTTCCCATCTACCTTCCTGTGAATTATAGCAAAAGTCTCGCGAGACATCTTATATATAGAAAGTAAATTATGTAAAAAATTCTATGTAAGAAATTGTTTACTAAGATATAATTTTATAAAATAATAATGTTTTTCTTAAATATCATTTATTTCAAAACTTTTTCACTGACGCGCTGCTTGGAGTGGCATATCCCATGATAATCTGCGTATTATTATTGCATTTGCCGGAAGCCAAATGAGATAATGAAGAACATTGTACACCCAGGAAGACAGATTCGTTGATCAGAGATTCTGCATAGAATTTCCAAGAACGCTGATGGCTGCAGAAATCTATTAATGAAATGACAAAAAGAAAACCTGTAAAAGGTTCAATCTGTTTAACTGCAAATTCTAAATAAGAAAAACTATATATACCATCTTTGCTATAAAATTTAGGATGTTGTGGACAGCCAGGTTGTATGCGTTCACCACCGTTTGGGAAAAAGTCCACTGTACCTGTAGTCCTGGCAATACCATAAAATCCATAATCCGTATGTATGATATCCACAAAACGGGCATCAGAGAGCGAAAGATGAGGTTGAAGAAAGTTGTAAAGGGGACCAGCAGGATCCAATCCTATACAAAAATATTGAAAAGTATATAATAATATAATAATATTATAATA